ATGAGAGGGATGGCAAGAGCTAGAGCAGCAGAGGAGAGTGGGTGATTTTGTTTTGTATTTTGAGATGGCAGAGGATTGAGCTTGGGAAGGAGAAGACCTTAATAGGGAGAGAGAAAAGAGTTAGCAAAGAAAAAAACCAAGGGATGGGCTGGATCTCAGAGGAGACAGGAAGGGATTGGATAGCAGGTGGATCATCCTTTTGTTGGGGGGAGGAGACACTTCTTTCTCTTAGATGCAAAGTCAAGATGGCTTGTAGCTAATGATTAATGCACACCAGGCAGCATTGTGGTTTGTTTGTTTGTTTGTTTTTGGAATAGGAAGCACAATTAAGTGAGAAGTGAGGAGGGCAAAGAATAGGCAAAGACAATAGGAAAGCAATGAATGTGTAGAGTAGCCATGGAGGGAACTGGATCTGTAATAGAATTGTTGAGGTATTATAAAATGCCCAATGGACACCATAACTTACTGACCATCAACTCACCTACCTGTGTAATTGTTTTCTAGCAGCTCTCAGGCCTTGGGTATAGTAATATATGATGCCAATATATTAGCTTGTATTGCTGCATTACTGGATATTTGCAAGGTGAATGTGGTATCAACAGAGCAGGGAATTGAGAGTGTTGATGAGAGGTGACAGTGCTTCCAAAAGGCAGATAAAGCAATCATGCAGTGACATGTGAGCAGAAATTGTGATTGTCTAATGCAGTGATTAAGGAAGCATTGGCAAAACAGACAAAGCTCTCTCAGCTCATGGGTCTGGAAGGTTTCAAGTGCTAACTGGACCACCAGGTTCTAAAAGATCTCCAAGAGGATGGCCACTGTCCTTTGTGGAAAGGACTTTGTCTCTCTGGGGGCACTCAGATATATATAATATAATATTTACTACATTATAATAATAATATATAATATATAATATAATATATATATATAAAAAATGTTTGGCATTATATATTAACTGATCCTTTTCTCTGCTTTGGCTAATTCTGGTAGAAAGTTTTTAAGATGTGCTTTTGCCAGAAAATTGGAATAAAATCAAAAAATATTTGAAAGTTATGGAGTTGACGGAAACAAAATTTTTACTTTGAGCCTGTAAGAGTCTCTGGCCCCAGGAATTTTTTTTCCAGTTTACCTGGCAGCCCTCACAAGTTCTGTTCTTTTTCTTTCCCTGGATTCAGCTGTTCAGACTACCAAATTGAGTTAGTTTTAGGTGAGTCCCTCTCCATTCATGTCCTGAGCTTCTATCTGAAAATAAGTTACCAGACAGCAAGCTGTCAAGCTTCCTCAACCACTTTATGCTCTCTCTGACTCCTAGTCCTTCAGAGGGTCCATCTGACCTGATCCCCTATAACCCTTCTTGGGGTTGCAAATAAGCCCACACTTCTTTGGAGCCTTGGTTCTGCCATGTTGTTTATGATTCAGAGTCTTTGGAATTCCTGCTTTCCTCTTGATCAAGTTCTCTCTAACCCTTTTGTCTGAGGGATATCTCTAAATTAGAATTTAAAGAGGACTGAACCTGATGCCTTCAACTGCAGTAGGTGCCAGCCTCTCAGATAGGATCTGTCCACAGAATCTACCCAGAACTGAGATGGTTCTTTGTTTTCCTCTGTCAGGAGAAAGCTTCAAGGACATTACATGAAAAGCAATAAAGCTCTGAAGACTCTTTGAGTGAAAAGGGAATAGAGGAGGCAGGGAAAGCAATAAGAACTAAAAGAGCTTCCCTGTCTGCTCCTCTCATTGCTTAGAGACTTCCTATAGATGTGAGCAGTTTCCAACATCTGCAGTAATAGTAATAACTGCTTTGAGGGAAGAATGCAACAATGACTTTGGGGAAATAAGAGCCCAATATTTATTAAGGAATTTCTGCATGTTAGGTGTTTCCATACACACCCCCACTTCATCCCTACAACTACTTTATTGGGTAAAGATTAACAAAAGGAAACCCTAAGGTGCAGAAGCAAAGTTCAGAGTAGAGGCTGGCCCAGTGGACTCCAAACACACCGTTTTGTTGCCATGACTTCATTCTGTCACCTCTACTTTTATCTCAGATACTCTCATTTCCCCCCTCCTTGTGTCTTCTGTGATTTTAATGGGGCAAATCTATTTTAGGTTTTTATTAGGAAAGATACTCTCTGATTTAAGGAAAGGCATAGGAGGCACAATCCTATTGGAGTCTGTTTGTCAAAATCTTGCAATTCAATATTGCAATGCCATCAAAATTCAGAGTGCTGCTAGCTTGGTAATTTACTTCATTAATGGTGCTGCCTGAATAAAATACATGGCAAATTAGAAATCAACACATCCTGGGGAAGTATGATAATATATTCAGAAAGCACAGAAGGTAAAGGTATAGAGATGGAACAAGAGAGAAGAAAGAAGGAAGTGATGGAGGAAAAGCATCTCAGGATTAAGAGGGATTTGGGGAGCCTATCTGTACTGTACACAGAGTGTTTTTAGAAGGCATTTCTGAGAACTATTGGAGGATTATGAATCTCTCTTGTTTATATCTTTATATCTTCCTATCCCTCACCTCCCACATCTAATATATTACGAAGTCCTGTCAGTTTTACCTTTAGAATAGATCTTATGAAAGTCCACTTCTCAGCCTGTTGATGGATATAGGTGCAGTATGGTCTCCAGTGCACACCTGTGTCAGGTCTTCTCTCTGGGCACGCAAGAAGATGGCTCATTTCTGACTCCCACTTTGTGACCAGATGGGGCATGTAACTGGTTCTGGCCAATGACACATCTCACTCCTGGGCTAAAACGTTCAAATACAGGGTAAGACCTTCCAGCTTGTCCCTCTGCTACAGCAACTATAGAAGCAAGTGATTGAAGGGAAAGTATCACAAGACTAATGCAATTTGGATCCTCTTATTGGTCAGAGTTCTCCAGAGAAACAGAACCAGTAAGGTATACGTGAAGAGATTTATTATGAGAGATTGAAACTCACATGATTAGGGAGGCTGGGAAGTCATATGCTGTGGTGTCTGCAAGCTGGAGGCCCAGGAAAGCCCAAGGTGGATAATTTAACCCAAGCCCAAAGGCCTGAGAGCTCTTGGTGAAAGCAGGGGAGACAGTGATTTAAGTCCCAGTCTGAGTACAAAGACTCTAGAACCAAGAGCACCAGTGTCTAAGCACAGAAGAAAATGGATACCTGAGCCCCAGAAGAGGGAGCGAATTCACTTTTTCTCCTTGTTTTTGTCCTGTCCAGGCCCTCAGTGGATTGCAGACACCCATCCATGTTGGGAGGGTGATCTTTACTCAGTCTACTGAATCAAATGCTGATCTCTTCCAGAAACACCCTCATAGACATACTCTGAAATAATGTTTTACCACCCATCTGGGCACCCCTTTGTCCAATCAAGTTGACAAAATCACCAATCACAGTCTCTAAGCTGCATGGAGCAAACTGTCAGAAGGCTGTCCAGACACATAGTGGGCATTTCTTGGACAAGAACCAACCTTTGTTTTGTAAAGCAACTGAGAGTTGGGTGCTGTTTGTTGTCTATTCATGGTCTGTATCCTGACTAGTAAAACAAGTTGTTGTCATCTCTCTCTTAGAATCTTTAAGAACTCTTTTAACTCTTCCTCTTCTTCTCTTGCCCCATCTCCCTTCATTTCTCTGAAAAGTGGTCAAAATGAACCTTTTTAAATATAACACCAGGTCACATCACTCCCTTGTCCAAAAACCTTCTATTTCCACCCCTTGTTGTTAGGGTCAGTTTTAAACTTCTTAACCTGGTTTTCCAGGGCTGCCTGCTCCATGCTCTGCTTACTCCCTTCCCCTTACAGTTCATGGACCCTGTTCTTTGCCTTTAGTCCCATTGTTTCTTCTATTTCTCAGACATTATCTGCTGCTCCCCATTTGGGGGCTTTTCCACACACTTTCTCCATTGTGGAACATTCATCCCAGTTCACTTGGCTTGACCTGGGGAATCTCCACCTAAATGATGTTCCCTGGAGGCCTGCTCTGAGCCCTCAGTATGACCAGGTCTCCCCACAACTCTTCTGTGCCACTCGGCTCAGGTTCTGTGCCACTGCTTCATCCATGCCAATCACAGTTTAAAATTCTGTATTCATTTGTGTGGTTATTTGTTTAATAAATATTCTTTCTTCCTGATGAGACTTTAAGCTCCTCTAGGGAAAGAGGACCATGTCTGCTTTCCCTCTCTCTCTATCCTAAGCATCCCAGGCCTAGACCCCAGTCCTTATTAGGTTCTCAAAAACTACCTTCATGGTGATAAAATAAACACATTAATGATAACTTATAGTTGTGTGTGTGTGTGTAAAGTCTAAGGAACATGAAAGCTGATATTTTTGAGCACTTTCTGTATGTGAGGTATGATGCCCAGTGCTTTCTGTTGCTCTCTTTGCCATGTAGATATCATGACAATGAGATGATGAGGTAAGGACTATGACCCTCACTTTAGAGATGTGGGAACCCATGAGGCTTCCTAGGCAGGCCAGCTCCATAAACCATATCCTTAACTTGCTTTTTGATTTGGTCTTGATTTTCCAAGTTTATAAAACAACAGCACCAACCCCTGATCTCACAGCTATTATAGTAATCAAAGGCCAGATTTGCATTGTGTTTTTTTATGGGAGAATTACTGATCTCCTGTGCCTGCATGATTGTTACTGAAGACAGTGTATTTTATAAATAAATACATATGCAGTGATTAAAAATATTAACCAACTTGTTCATTGAGGATCAAATGCTAACCTCAAAATATGAACATGCAAGAAAATTGTTTCAATTTAGAGATTTTTTTTTGTTTGACTCTATAGTGTAAGCTTTTCTTTCCTGTTTTTTTTTTTTTAATTTAAACCTGTCAGAGGTGAAAATATTAATTTCCTTTTCCATGGAGAAATCCAATAATGGAGTGAAAGTCAGGCTTTATTGGGACACACTTTATCAATTAAATCTGATTTTTGTTAACAGTATCTTATAAGCTCTCATTTTAAATGAATCTTATTTTAAAATCTTTTTCTTGAAACAGCACCTATCTGAATGAGAAGTCACTCCAACTGACAGAGAAATGCAAGAATCTGCAATATGGCATCGAGTCTCTTTCTAACAAAACCAAAGGGTAAGTCCTACTCTTTTCCCACTTAATTTTTCCCACTTAATTTTTAACACTAAGTGTTTTGCATGCAGAATGTTTCACAGCATCATTGAAATCATTTGGAAGATAAGACTGTTCACTCTCAGGCTTGATTTGGGGCTCTGAAAATCTCCTGTTGTTGAGGAAGACAGATGAGGGCACCAATAGTGTAGACCTGGGTGAGACCTTGGGAGTGGAACACAATTTACCTGTCCCTAGATCCATATGTGTTAAAAAACACTGTGTAGTTTCATTGATTCAACTTTCGTAGGCCTCCAGTTCTTTTGGCAATCTGATATATATTCCGGACACTACGCTGCGTAACATCCTCCTTACAGTGTCATCAGCTTAGCAGATTTACCCCCAGTCCAGGCTGTGGTACCACCTCACCTTCCCCACCTCTGTTTAAGTTTCATACTTTTTACAGAGCTCACTACATCATCTCCTCCCACATGGGGAAAAGAAGGTCTTGAAGCTCTGTGCTTCAAACATGGAAGGGGCAATGTGGCCTGAGGTTCTGATAGGAGAAGCACCATTTTTGATAGTACCTGGAAGGAGCCAGGTCTGACAGCACATGGGGTGAAGGCATGTGGTTACATCTGCCATCTCCCTGAAAGGAAGTCACCTGGGTTTCATTTTGCTGTGCATCTGCCTGACAAATTTTGAAGATTATTCAGAGTAAGAAGTATTGGTGCCAATCCTGTATAAGGAAAACTTGGTGGTGTTCCCACCTGCATATTTTTCTTTTTCTCTTCCTAATAATCATTCATTCTCATTCTCTCCCTCTCTCCCCTCTGTCCTCCCAACCCCCTTCCTCTTTCAATGTTAAAAATAGCTTTTGTAGGAGCAAGGAGTTAAGAAACTGCCTATAATCCATTCCCTCCCTTCTCTGAGGGTGTGGGAGGTTGACATGGGGGTAAAGAATCCCAGGTAGGTTACCTGGTCTAACCTGCCTCTCAGCTGAACCTCACGGGTAGATGGACTAATGAGATTTGCTTGGAAGAAGAGAATTTATCCATTGAGGGTTCCCTGGAGGCTGATCCCTGGCTAAGGTTGTACTTCCAGGAAATGGAACCCAAGGATCCATGGAGCTGCATGTGGGCTGTGCAGCTCCCCAGGTGTAAAAGAGCAATGTTTCATAATTTAAATATCCCTACTGTGTGATGAAGCCCACGGACCTCACTGTCACATAGAGACCTCACTTACTATCCTAGGCCATATCCAATGTGGAAAGTCAGGACCAGAGTAGCCCCACTGAATGTCCCGGGCCTCGCTTTACTTTGTCTGAGCCTCTTGATCGCTTGGGTCCTTGAAATCATTAAGAAAAGCTTTACATGGGTGAGATGTCTGATTTGAGTGAATCTGGTTTGTCAGTCTAATCTTGTATGGTAACTCAATGTTAGGTTGTCCAGACTCTTGTCTGGAAGAGCCATTCTGTGAGACTCTGTTACAGGTGGACACAACTCAGATAAGAGAAAGACATGCAGCAGGCTTGTCCTTGCCTGTGCTTGCTCCAGCCTAATTACAGACCCACCCTAGAGGAATATGATGACACTCGGAGAAGGAGAACCTGCTAGGACAGTCCTGATAATGAGATAGCATCTTTGAGGTCCTGATGAGAACAATAGTTTGGTCGTCCTTGATAGAAACCAGCTCCCCCACCCACAGCAGTGTAAGTCTCCCTCCCTAAACCCCCACCGACATCTTTTAGACATTAGTCCACATGCACCCAAGCATCAAAATAAACAATGCTGCCTTGGTTAGACTTTGGTCTTGAGTGTTGTGATCTGTTCCTTTCTTCAGTTTTTATCACTCAGTTTTTTATAGAAGGATAGCTCTAGTACAATTTCTGTTTTCTTTTCCTTAAATTCCAAGAGATGGGTCCCAAGCTTGCTCTACTGTGCTGTGTCTCTTCCACTTGCCCCACCCAATCCCCTTCTGTTTTCCTGAGAGACCCGAGTTCCACACCTCTTGCAGCAGGCTGCATGTGCTGGATGTGTGGCCCAATGACAAATGAAAAGCAGAATGGGAAAAATTGGTCCTTGCTTCTCCAGACCTTGCAGGAAGCTGTGATGAAACTTCCTTTCAATTTTCTTCAACTCTCTGCCATGAACTATTTTGGCTTCTCAAAGTGACAGAAGTCCTCAATGAATGGATGATCAATATCGGTGTGTTGTTACAAAGTACTTGAGTTGGCAGAAGGGGAAAATTCTCCATGCTCTAATGATAGGAGTCTTTTTCAAGGTGCAGGACTTGACGATTCATTTGCATCAACCGAAGTATTGAACTGCTGTCTGCTAATCGGAAGGGAGGCGCATGTCATGTTTGGCCCTCTCACTTTTTACCTGTTGTTTGTATTTGGAGCTAAGACCTTTTCCCCAGTTGTTCTTTAGGGGATGCCCTTCCATTACCCACACAATTTTCAGCTAGCTCATATAATTAGCCTACACTGGTATCTATTTGGCAAAGGTCTAGAGAGAGCAGGCATGGATTGCCCGTTGTTATGAAAGTGTTATTTTGCACACGGGAGACTAATTTTTCTTGGTTGCACTGTCTATGGTCAGGAATTGTGCACTGTACAACTCGTGCTATTACAGACTTACAGAGGACAATAGCGAAAAGCCATTCAGTGTACTGCGATAAAGAAGTAATTTCATTTACTTAGAAATAATTATCTGGCCCTATTTTTGTCATGGTCTGTTAAAGACTTAGAATTTTCTCTTTCTTCAACCAATTTGTCCCTTTCAGGTTGCTAAAATAGAATTTAAGAAGAGAGAGTTATAGTGGAAGGGAAATAGCACTTTTTGTCTCCCCTGGTCTTGACAGTAATTTTGAATCATTGGAAATGAAGCAGTTGTTAGCAGAACCAGTGTGATAGGATATCATATGTCAAAATTCTTCATCTCTGCTTAAGACTTGGAGTTCTGAAGAGCATGGGACAGTGTCTTGATCACACTTCTAGAGGGTGGGACAGTGTCTTGATCACACTTCTATCCTTTGGTGCCTATTATATATACAATGCTGTTCAGTAAATATTTACTATGAACATGCATTTTCTATGCCACCTCTCATTTCTAAGCCTTAAAAATTATCCACAAATGCATAAAACTCAACTCCTTTGAGAAGCCAATTTTAATTGCTCTAGCTCTTTCTCTTGCTTTAGGTCTGTACTTTTCTATTTTCTTTCTTTTACCCTACCTGATCCTTTCCCCCTGAGTATTTCTTTGTGTTTCTCCCCCTTTCCACCAGGTTTATCTTCCAGATAAAACAGTAGACTATATAAAAAATGCTCTCCAGCCATCTTATCACTGCTAGTTTGCTCTGTTTTTCAATATGGCAAACTTATTATTTGTAAGCTTCTCTGCTTATATTGTTAGAAAAACATCTACACAGATATCCAAGCTGTGTATTCGTGTCCTCGTTGCTTCAGACAAATGACATGATTTTTCTGAGAACAGGCACTTCAGACGTACTGACCCAGGCAATGAACTCATTTCATCCTCTGGGGTTTCTCTGCCTTTGGGTTGTACCTTCTCTCTTTTTCTTTTTTCTTCTATTTTTCCAAGAGTCCTGGATCCCTAGAGAATGTGCCATTACATTTGTTCAGTTCCCACCATTTGGTCAGAGTAGATGAACTGCTCTAACAAAAGCTCCCTAAACTCAGATCTTCAGGTAACATTTTTCTCTCTCTCATGCAACGTGCAGTATTGCTTTTTGATCAGGGCGACTCTCCTGGGTGATTCTATCCCAGGTATTTGGGAATTCTGGGTCTTTCCTCTTGTAATACCGTCATTTGCAAGATGGGCTTGCTTGCTGCTTGAAGGAAAATACTAAAGAGAAAGCTTGTCCTAAGCACAGTCTTCAGAAGATACACCTCACTTCCATTTGCATTCCAACTGCCTGAAACAGGCCCTTCTACGTGTTGAGGTCACGTGACTGTTTTTGGCCAATAGAGTGTAAGTTGAGTGGAGCGTGGTTGGGTGTTGGCAACAACTCTGAGCTATAGAAAGGGATCAGTGGCGACCAGCCAGACGTCAGCTCTGCCACATGTGTATTAAATATCTCCACCATTCTGATCCTTCTCAGGAATGTCTTGAACAGAGAGATGCTTCTAAACAACATCTTATACACCTTGTGAACACCCTCAGAAGTTTCAATAGTGTGTCTAGTGAGAAATTAAGAAGTCTTCTCAGGAACAGAGTGCAAATCACCTCCCTATGAGTTTCTGAGTGGTCCTAAGGGCAGGAAAAGCTCACTTGTAGTCAGAGCTTTGGGGGGGATGGGTAAGATGCAGAATACTCCAAATTAAGATTTGGAATATCGGCTCGGCACCTATAGCTCAACCAGCTAAGGCGCCAGCCACGTACATCTAAGGTGGCGGTTCGAATCCCCAGCCTGGACCGCCAAAACAACAATGACGGCTGCAACCAAAAAATAGCCGGGCGTTGTGGCGGGCGCCTGTGGTCCCAGCTACTCGGGAGGCGGAGGCAGGAGACTCGCTTGAGCCCAGGAGTTGGAGGTTGCTGTGAGCTGTAATGCCATAGCACTCTACCCAGGGGGACAGCTTGAGGCTCCGTCTCAAAAAAAAAAAAAAAAAAAAGATTTGGAATATCTGCCTTGTATGGACTAGGTGTGACTTGTACCATCCACTTTGGTCAGTGTGTGTGTTTGATGAGCTGTTTCATGTAACACTGTTTAAAATTACCGGGAAATGGAAGTTTCTGGAAGATACTTTCTTCACGGAGTGGCATAAAGATGTTAGTTGGAAGGGGTCATTTTTACAGGATGAAACACAAAGAGAATCGAAGCCTGGCCCTAAATGTTCTTCGTTCTTTATTCCCCTGGAGAGAACAGCATGACCAGGATTGCTGCTGGTAAAGAGGAGACATAAATTATAGTCCATCACACTTCAAAAAACCCAGAGGTGAGCCTATCACTAGGCAGCAAGGATTCTAACGAAAGCAAGTATTCTAAGTTTCAGGTTG